CCTGGACCTTATCTTGTCATTGAATATATGATAAGAGAAAGTTTAAGAGGTATAACATTCCTTCTATTCTTTTTAAGAAAATAGTTCCACGATGAGTCTACTCAGCAGAGTGGGGGTCGATTTTGGCACTTATTTGAAGGCTACCTTCTCCATGCTGCTGACAGTTACGAAGAGCATGGTGAGAAGGATAACGACTAGGAGGATGGTGATGATTATGGTACTCGGAAGTAGAGTATGCGATCATTGGAATGTGGCGTTGTTTTTGTCGATGATGGTGGTGGTGATGGTGGTTAAACACCAGTTTCCGATCATTAAAAAATTAACAGATTACATCTGCTAGACCGGGCAATTTTACCATGGAAGGAATACACAAAGTCTTGAAACCGCAACTACAGAGCCGCGAATTTCCACGGTATTTCCGTGCTAGTAATAGTATTGCTAATAATTAATCAGATCAACGCAAGGCTTACGATTAGTGCAACGCTACTTCCGGTGGTGGTAAGGCATGTCAGAATGAGCTTTGGAATCCTGTAATAATCTGCTGGCCTGAGAATGTCCTTTTCTAACGAGCTTTCATGATTTTGTTCTTGTTGACGGAACTCCTTCCATTTACTAACAGCATAGCCGATTGCCAAGCCCAAAACCGTCGAATAACCGTCGATCGACCATCGGTACTTCCACTGTCCAGTCGCTGGTCCAAACAAATACTTCAGAGGACTGTTGGAAAGGGGAAAAGGACAATTATGTGCTATTTGTAAGCGGCTGCAATGCTTCCAAGTCCAACTTTTTATAATCGCAACAAGAATTATTTTAGTTTTTCTTGAACAAAACTCGTGTTTGTGCTTTTATACTGTTCGGCCAGTCTTTGCCTGTGAAGCAGTTTAGCAGCAGATGCTGAATAGTTAACCCAGAAAATGTGGGCCAGCAACAACAATTAGAAATTATGAATGGGATACGCGTTAACGTAAAGTTGTGCTGGATGTTTGTAAATCACATCCCTATAGGACCTGCGTTAGAACATTTAAATTTTGCCACGGAGAAGGTAATACGGTCGGAACGGCCTTTTCTTGTTTACTCTTGCTCACTAGACTACCGTACCCGGACATTCGCTCCCCGAATATAGTGGGGCATTGAGCTAGCAATTCAGTATCACGTAGACTGAACTTGGCAATACCCAATCAACAACCGGCAAGATATCAAGCCCATTAGCGCAATGGTTAAGCCGCTTGCCTCTGAACAGAGAGACGCGGGTTCGAACTGCGATTGTGGCGACTATTTCCGCTGCTACACTGGAGTAGGGTATCATCAGCTGAATATATGGTAGGCGGGTTGAGGACACCAAGTGAGTTTTTGCAGCTGCACTTTTCAAATGATGATTGTTCACCTATACGGCATGGCCAAGAGGAGCTCCTGAGCTTAACGCATCGCCCGTTGACAGCAGGAGGTGGGCTTTGAAGGACAGTATCATTGTGAAA